TTGATGTTTCCGTGGCAGAGGAGCCAGCATATGTGTGCAGCCTGTGGAGAAACCACAGAGTTTGTGGTGACCACGGTTCCTCCGTGCTGACTGCACCATGCCAGTTTTATTCTCATTTGTATTCTGCTCTGAGAAGCCCTCTTTGCCGCCAGGTCAGATATCCCTGCCCATTAACAAATGACAGGAGGAGTTAACTTGATTGACATGTTTATTGTTCTTGGGATGGTCTGGCCTAATGAGGCCCATCCGCCCAGGGTGCTGAGATTATGCTGGCGTTAGAGGACACGTCCAAAGAGGTTCATCTGTCCTGTGCCATTTAAACAGGCCTACTGCACACTTGTCCAGCCTGATGCCCCTTTACCTCTAGAACTGTTTACCTAGAGACAATGCTTGGGAATGATTCGAGGTCTCAGACACTAATCATTACACGAGGGTTGATACTCCTGTTTGTTCTAATGCTACACCTGATAAAGCACTACTTTGATGAACTGCACCAATTAATGGACAGAGAGCTGAATTACTCAGAAGACATTCTGACTTTCCAAGCGCAAAACAGCTGTCCTTTCCAATTTGTGTGGAAAAATTTGTTGCAAAGTTGCGGTAGGCTTACTAGTTGCAAAATTACTTTAAAATGCAATATGGGTCGTTTACTTTACACCTTATTGTAATGGGTCGATGACCTTATTATTTTTTTAATAATGCAATTCATAGATGACTTGATTGATACATTGATTCAATGATTTGAATACACCTCTTCTGTGGTGAGCATGTTTTTTTAATTTCTGAAGTAAAATAAATTTTTTTAAAGTACAAAATGCCAGGTTCAAACAACTAATATCATAATTTAGAATTTTTTTTAGTTTAGCATAGTAACAATTTTTGAGAAAAAAATATTACCACAGCTACATCACTGCTTATTAATAATTTAAAAAAAAACTTTCCTGCAAAACTTAATATGAATGAATAATTCACGATTTTTATAAAATAAATACATTTTTAAAATACTTTGGTGTCAGTTAATTGAAAAAAAAAAATGCTTTCAAAATTAAAAAACAACGTATCTCTATATTAATACATTTTAAATATTATTTATTCTTGTGATGCCAGATCAGCAATTCAGCAGTCTTTACTCCATTCTTCACTGTTACATGCTCCTTCTGAAATCATTCTAACATGCTGATTTGGTTCTTAAGAAACATTTCTTCGTATTATTAATGTTACCTTTTCCAGGCTTTCCTCTGGTTTCTTGTTTACTGCTTAGCGATATAAAGCTGATAGCCAAGGGTTTTCATTTCTTTCAGTTTCGCCATATGCTGAGGAAAGAAATTACCCCTCCCCCACAATGTAGTCCTGTTGTGAAGTTTCACTGCCACCTCCAAGATTTAGGATTGGTTGAAGAGGTTACACATTTGAATGCAACTTCCAAGTATTTAGCATCAGTGTTGTTAAGATATTTTCCCATACTTCCTTTTATGTATTTATTGCCAATCTGTTTGTTTTCCTGCAGTATCATTATATGCTTCAGCACATCAAAACAGACGGTAGTTTTTGATGTTTTTCCAAGATACCCAGGGATATATCTGGATACACCGTGTGTTTTAAAAACTCACTGCTTTTCCACACATGTTCCTTTCCCCCTCTTTCAAGAAATAATTTTGCTTCTTTCATTTGAATGGTAAATGCATAGCTACTCTCCTGCAGTCTTAGGGCAGAGGCTCTATGATTTTGTGGCAAGATCTGGAATGAAAGTAATTAATAGGCATCTTAATTGGTGCAAGTGTCTTCTTAGAGCGTGCCTTCGCTCGACCCTGAACTGTAGTAAACCTTGAGGGTGGCCAGAACACCGGCTATAGCTGTTACAAAGGGGAAGGCAATAATTATTCTGCAAGTGCTATTCTTTTCTTCTTCACTTTTTTAATGTCAAAGAACAAGATCCAACCCTTGTGATCATAAGAATAGATGGAGTTCTCTGTCAGTGAGTAACATTGTGAATGACCTTGATTTGATATAATTAACAAAACCTTTCCGGTGGTAGATTGTATGTGCAAATGTACAAACAGAAAAATATGTTTTATGAGGATGATTAATGTAATGACTGAAATTTTTTTACCTTTCTCCTACATATACAATTTTATTACTGGTTTGTTTGTTTCCTCAGTGAAGAAAAAGTGGCCAACACGTTTCCAGCATGCTGTTTAAAAAGATACCTCAATGAGATGTGTGAGATGATATAGAACTGAGATAGATATATTTATGCTTATTATATACACATGTTTGAGGCATTTTAATTGTTATTTTCCCTGCCAGTGTCCTGAGGCCTTAAAAGATAAAAAGCTTGCAACCTTGCTCTAAAGCGGATGTTTGAATTTTAAGTGAGTTTATGCAGATCATTAAACAGAACAACCTCTTCTGTCTTTTTAAAGACCAGCTCTGATGTGTCCAGTCATATTGAGAGATAAGCAATTAAACCATGCATTCAACAATGTTTACTCACTTTCATGTCATTCCAAAGCCATGCAGTATTTGGAACATTTTCTGTGGAACAAAAATGTGATTTATTTTTTATTTTTTTTAAAGGCTTCAAAAAGGCTGCAAAAACACCAGAAAGTGTTATAAAAGCCATCCATACAAATTAGTACACTATATTATGAGTCTTCTGAAGATATATGATAGATTTGTGTGAGGAACAGACTAAAATACGTTATTAATCCCTGAAAATCTTATTCCCTTCCAGTGATATGTTAACCGATATAAGAGTTTAAAAGGAAACTCAATGTAATTCCGATTAATATATTTTAAAACTGTCTTTAACATGCAGCATATCTAAAGTAAAGATTCAGCTTGATTTTGTATACATTGATTGTTTTATTTCCAAAGGTGAAAAGCTGTTGACTGTGGTTGTTCTTTTAGAGCTACCAATAGGTTATAAGTATGTACCATTTATGACATGTCACCTGTGTTTAGCAGATCGATTCCATACACTGCAGCCTCATTCTGGTTATAGATTTCCTGTCATCTCAGTGACTGATGTAGAAGGATCTGAATTATTTCCCATTTTTCTGCCTGCATCTTGGAGGACATTACAACCTAATTCAATGCTTTCCAAAATAAGAGATGACTCAACGTTTTTTTTCGAATCCATTTTCATTCTCTACACAGCACCATCCAATGCAGAAATAGTTTTTATACCAGGAAATGAGAATGGAATAGCAGCCGGCTGTTATTTTTAAATTAAGTCCGCTGAAGCGATGACCACACCAACCAGCTGTACTTTTATTAATCACAAAGCTACTCAGTTGTGACCTCAGTTGAGCCACACTTTTGTTTATCAAGCATTGTTCCCAAACAATATTCAGGCCTTCTTATCATAGCATTAGGGGGTCAAAGAGAGTACACATCTTGTGTGCGTGTGTCTGGGTTTGTGTTTGTTTTTCGTGTACGGAAGTGTGTGTACACGCTGCTACTTTGTCAAGTTCTTTTCTCAAGGAGAATTGTTGAATGCTCACATGACAGCAAACAGCATGTGGTGCTTGTTCGGGGAAAATGCAGGCTCAAATGATGGCGACTCACAACATGAAAAATATGGTGTGGAGACCACCTGCTTCTCTCAGCATCAGGACAATGGGAACAATGATTTATGAATAGTCTTTACTTATTTGGAGGCCTGAAATGAGGGCAGAAGTGCTGATGTCATTGTGGTGGGATAGACATTATGAATTGCGTATGTGTCGTCGCTTTTCTGAATTTTCTGAATTTACTTGATAGAAGATGCAAGCTTGGAGGTCCTCAACCACACCGCTGACTGCTCATAAATTATTAATAAAGAATTCTGTTTTGCAGGCTGCCAATCATCTCATGTAATGGTTGTCAGCTGGGGGTGCATGTAGCACAACTCTGTGAAAATGCCAAGGCGAACACTTTGTATAAATTGTCTAAATTGCTTGAAAATGTCATGGGCTGCTGGAACTCGGATGTTGAATAAAGTTATTTAAAAGAATAGAGGGGTATTGTTGCACCGACTTTCTTATGAGTATCAAAGAGTTATGAGAAAGGGAGACGTGGGGCAGCTGTAACATTTTTAACATTTTCCTTCATAATGGACTGCTACAAATCCAACTGCCATTTTTTTGGTATAAGAGACATTTGAAACCGTAGCTGTGAGCCGTAGCCATTAATAGACTTATAATAAGAAAGACTAGATCATAAAATTGAAATTAATAGAAGTCAGAGTGTTGCAGTTGAAACAGTGATTGCTGCTAATTATATTAGCACACTCTGTCTGAAATACCTCAAAGTAATATAATTTCTTTACTACCTATTAATATCCCTTAATCGTTTTCACTTTTATATGGTGCTATTTCTTTTAGCTGTAAGAAATGTTTTTGTGTATTTAAAGCAGAAGACATGGGGATACCTACATTTTAATTGTTTGAAATCACACCATTTAAAAAAATTACTTTTCTATATTCTACTCGTATGTATCAAAAACTGGATACTTTCATCAAATAATGTTTACATTATTTGCATTACATTACACATTTGCATGTACCTTTTTGTTACTTTTTTTTTAATTACATCCAAACCACCATAATTATTACTTTTGACTTTTGCTCGTAATTGTCTTTTTATCATCATCATCATCATCATCATTATTATTGTTATTATTATCTGTGGTATGTGAGCGTGAGTTGAAATTAACATCCAATATTCCAGTAAGTACTTTTTAGAATGTTTATTAATAAAATTAACAGGAAACACACATTTTACACAAAACTGTACTGCTCCAGTTTTACATTTCAGAAAAAAAAGAAGCTTCAATTTAAACGTTTTTGGAAATATTTAAATATTAACTTTATAATTATTACATCCACAAGTAAGGAACTTGTGGCTCTTACTCATTCATTCATTCATTCATTCATGCATTTATTTATTTATTATAAATTCACTCTAAGTCTACTTATTATGAACAAATGTTCTGTTTTTCTTACAATAAGTATGAGCATTTGATGAATGTATTGCAAATCATCATTGTGTACTTTCTCCTGTTGCAGTGCCATCGTTCTGGGGGCTTGTAAATTCTGCATGGAATCTGTGTTCTGTGGGGAAGAGACAGTCTCCAGTCATCATTGAGACGAGCCATATGATATTTGATCCCTTCTTGACACCACTGAGGCTCAACACTGGCGGACGAAAGGTAAACTGTGTGTTATGTGATGTCTGCATGGCTGCAATGTCAGTGCGGTGAGCTGGGAAAAGTAAACATTGTTTCTAGTGTCAAAGTGCTGATCAACTCTGAAAATGCTACTTTAGTGAAAAAATGCATGTAGGTCAGTGGTTTTGCTAGATTCAGAACGGTTAGGAAAGTAAATTATAGTGCTTAGTTTGAATTGTACTATTTTCCACTACTGCTTTTTACAGTAGCTGATACCCTGCAGTGTGTCATGCAAAACTCCACTTTAAACAGCATTTTTATTATTATTATGGATGCAGCTTTGACCTCATATCATTCGAGATGGTTTGTCACACTGCAAGATTTAAAATGAACTAGTTATTGATACATCGTGAAAAAAACTCAGAAAGGAGAAGCAGTTTTCACTCAGAAATTGCTAGTAAATTTCACAAGCATTTACAAAGAAGTGGCAAGTAACACTTTGAATTATACATGTATGTTTTTATATAAATTCTGTTTGTAAAAAAAATCCATGTGCACGTTATGCGTCAACTAACCACTTAAAGGTGCCATCATTTGTTTGTCAATGAATGGCATGTTTTGCATATTAATAAATCCTCTCTTCAAACGCATCAGCAGTGGGTAACTGAGGTCGTGCATGTGGCGGCACTAGAGGCAGAGATTCATACTCATACAGATCAGTCAATGACTAGAGAGCGAATCAGACAGAGAAACAAGGATAATAAAAAATAAAAAAACTGCATGGTAATTTGGCCAAAGCACTCTTGACATGCCAAGTCTCATGAAATAATTAGTTGGATTCATTATTTGTAATTTAGAAGAATAGCAATTCACTTGGACATGATTTCATGAAAGGGGTTTGTCCTAAACTAAAAAAAGGTCAAAGATGAATTGCTGTTTTTAGTGGCGCATTTCAAGCTATTTACTAGATTTTTGCTTGATAAATATATCAGCATGGAAAATGTCTTGTGCTCACTTGAACTGCATGGGTTGACAGGTTTTGATCTTTTCAGAGATCAAAGAAAGCCAAGAAACCCCTGTTCTCTGATTTACTGGAACATGGTAGATAAATCTTTTCATTATTTATCCACCTTTATGTTGTTGCAAAGCAAAATCGTTTTCTTTATTCCATTGAACACAAAAGGAGAATGGCTTAAGAATCCTTGGAATATAGTCATATGGACCACTTGGAACATGGTAAGATAAATTTTTTTTTTTTTTTTTTTTTGTCCACAGGGATATTTTGGTTTCAATCGTGCTAGATTGTAGTCCTTGATGAAGAGTTTGAGTGTGTTTGAAGTCACACCATATGTGTTTGAGTTTCTGTCAGAGTGGAGTTTACATTGCCAGGCTCTCCACAGCATGATAAATGGACTAATGAATAGTTAAAGGAAATTAAAATGACCTCAGAATAGAAAACCTATTAATCAAGCGCAGACATGCATCAAGGTTATGTGCTTTGGATTGAGGGAATCACAGTTATTAAATTGTCTGTATTAATTGAATATTTGCTCTGCTGTAGATGAGCCGAATTACTTGAAGAGCTTTTAATGAATTTAATCGCTCTGACAAGGGAGGAAGATGACAGTATCGTGTCCCTTATTGAAGTCTCCAATCAGCAAAGTGGAGAATTTGAGACATGAATATGAAAAGATGCCACATGAAAATATTTTCTCCCAATGTCATTAGCTTTGGGGTGCAGCAGATATGTGATAGGACTAATTACCGAAACGAATCAGGCCACATGCCATTTAGCATAGCATAGATGTACTGTAGAACATAGTGTAGTACATTGTCTCACTGTGTCACCTTCCTTTGTCAGCGTTGGTAAAACGGGACAGAATCCCGCCCAGAGACGAACAATGACAGATACGATCTGCACACAGATTTTATTCAGTTACATAAATATCATATTAGATTACTCACTGAGTCAGCTTTGTCATGGCGATTTCATTAGCTTGGGTAGTTGACAGTGTGAGATACATTCTCTGTATAAACTGATGGCATCAGTTTGGCTATCAGTCAGCTTAAACAGGCCGATGTTTGAACTGAGGGACAACACAACTCTCGTACAGATCATTCACATACAGCACACAAAAGAGACTGACCATGATAAATTAATGTAAATGAACACCATATTTCTTTTTTTCGTTTTATAAATGACTTTTTCTTGAGGGGAACTGTAAATCTGTTACTGATAGTAATGGTAATGAACAGTCAGCCGGTCATTATCATCTGATTATACAGGAGTGATCAAGACCTTAATGCAAAGCAAGGGGTGTTTTGATCTCCCTGTTGGGGTTTGTTTTGCAATTAGCATTGGATGACTGTACATTATTCAGCTCTTCATATGGCTACATACTTAAGCAAATACATGGGCATGGAAAATGGATTTAAACCGAGTTAAAACAGGCCAGGGTTTCTATAGGGTTTTATTATTATTATTAATAGTAGTAGTAGTAGTAGTAGTAGTAGTGTTATTATATTTGAATGTGCTGTCAAATTATTGGAATATTAACTTAAAATCTAAAGGGGTACTTTAAGAAAATATTTTGTCAAAGTGGTTTGGATTTCAAAAAGTTTGGCAATCCCTGAATTCAAATATTAATTGGAATAGTTTATAGAAATTATGAATATGAATAACTTTTTTACCTGGTTGTATGTAGTTGTATTTTTTTAGGTGCATATAATAAAAATCAATGAGGCCTAATGTTGTTTGAACCTTAGTGTTGTTCAAAAATATCTGTTCCACAGAAGAAAATCATAGCGGTCACTGTTTAAAATATCTGATTGCTCAGTGGAGCTATGTAATGAGAGGTGATGGCAGTGTCAGTTAGATATAATGTTCTGTTCATTTGAGTTCAAGAATCAGTGATGTACTTTTTCCTGTAATCTGGCCAGTGGGAGAAATAGATTGAAACCATTTAACATGATGCATGTATGACCAGATGGGGAGTTCTGCTGCCACAGGGAGAGAACGCTCCTCTAGTGGCACTGAATCAGTAAAATTACACTGGGAACACGGTGGAACGAGAAACATGGAGCCATGGGATGACATCTGTAGTGATCTGTGGGAACACACTGTTGGGGGGGGGGTCCTATTACATATTCGGCCCCCCTAGCTTTCATTTGTCACACATGTGACTTCCATGTTGGCTTTGTACCTGAATGTTTTATCTCTTTTCACTGTTTGTTGCAAATGTTTGCACTCGTGTACTAAATCGTTTCTGTACCCTTGTTGCTAGCGGTTTATATTTCATGAACCGCGCACACCATGCCAAGTCCCTCCTAGACAAGAATTTACATCCATTGTAATTCTGCAACTCTGCAGAACATGCCGCTTACAGGCATGACTGCTTCATTTCCTTAGCAAACCTCTCGTGTTGGCAAACCCAGGAAAAATATGGAGTCAAATTTTTTTGAATCAAAGTGCAAATGTGAAATATTTATTAGAGAAAGCGTTTGCAAAGGATGCCTCAACATACACAAGCGTACATAAAGCTCAGCTATGTTTTTCATGGTGAATGTAATAAACCACAAAGGACACAGATGTTTATTGCTGAGGGTGAAACGCCCCGTGATTATGAGAATTGATTTAGTTATGCAAATTACTGATTCAAATTAATTAGACTCAAGTTTGTGTTGGCTGAACCTGCTAAGCTGTCACAGTATACAAAGCAGTTTGCACATGAATATCTCAAAGGCTGCAATTATGTCTGTCTCGCCGTGGCCTCTTGCTTGTCAAGGCGCTGGATTTAATTACTGCTGGATCGCACAAGCTCGAAGCCCTGATTCGTGCATTCCGAGTCGGAATACGCAACCTAAGCCAGTGTTCGTGGCTCGTCCATCGGTGTGGGTGTATAAATTTGAATCATAAACATGGAGCTAAGAAAGGATTAGGAAATAATTCGATTCAATCACTTGTGTCCGCAGGAAGGAATGTTTGTAGGGTCCAGGGGTTGTGAGGCAATCTCACTGTAGCATGAGTCGCAGGAAAATGGGTCACACGGAAAGAGGAAATGGATCAGCAGTCTCCTGTCCTCTATTCTCAGATCAAAGCCTGAGTGCTCCACCACAGCAGAGATTCTGAGTGCGCCTTCATATTTGTGCAGTTCAGATCCTACTCCAACATTATGATAGCAGGGTTTTATTGAAATCTTCAGATCATTTTGTGGTTCTGGTTTGTGGTTTTCGTTGTACCAAGAAAGAACTACTGGGCAAAATCAATTGAATCTCAGTTTTACAGTATACTTTATTGGCTTGATTTTCTTTTTATTTAAAAAGTCAGTTGTATTAATTAACGTTATTTATATAAAATAATGATAAAAAAATAGAATTGCTTGTTTTTTGTTTTGTTTTATTTATGTGTTTTGTTTTGTCTGGTTTTGTTTGGTATGGTTTTTTGTGTGTGTGTGTGTGTGTGTGTTTTTTTGGTTATACTTATTTTTTGGTTTATTTTGATAGTCCACTTTAGACATTCAACTACCTATAAATAACTTTGCAACTGCATGTCAACTAGCAGTCATTAAAGTATTAGTAGACTGTCTGCTTAATATCTACTAACACTTTATTTTGATGGTCTCTCAACAGATGTTCTACTGACTATAAGTAACTTTGCAAGTACGGCAACTTATTCTACTAACCCTAGCCTAACATTCTACAAATGCTCGAAATAAAGTGTAACCATGCATGGATGGATGGATGGATTTATTTGATAAAAATACTGTAAAAACAGTGGTTTTGTGAAATAGTCGTGTGTCACCGCGTCCCAAAGACTTAAAATAATAAACCACAAACACAAAGTTAAAACGATGCACTCCACTGTGCTGAGCGAGTGCCCTTCTCTGCTGCCTTCACGTGTTATCGGAAACTTCTATTTCCCACTGAAGTCGTGATTACGAGCTTGGTGCATTCAAGTGATTTGCTGTCAGAAAGAATCAAATGTAACATTCCATTACTTGATAACCTAGAGTTCACCGGGCCAGATTGTCAGCTTGATACGA